GGTGCTAATTCACAGAAATCCGACCCAAGCGTCACCGCTACAGTGTGCCACAGAGAACACTCCAGGACGGCTCTCACAACGCGGGGCAGGACCACGCTCACGCCCCATGTCTCCTCTCTTCTGCATCCCCTGCCCGCTAACACTGCTTTTACCTTAATGGCAGTGATGGCAAAGGCTATTTTCCGCCGCCCATCGATGTTGGTGTTGAGTACTCGCAGGATGTGCTGGAACTTCTCAGGGATCACGAGAGACTGCAAGGACACGGGGGACAATCAGACACTGGTGGCTATCAAGCCGAAAAGGCGGCTGAGACGGGGGGGGGGGGGGGGGGGGTGTCCACCGGCGAGCACGGAGCCCTCCTCTGCCAGCTCCTCCACAGCTCAGCGCTCACCGCAGACGCTCAGGCGCGGGAAGATGCAACCCCGGACACGACGGGGGACGCTGGCTGCGGCCAAATGCGCTCCGGGCACGGGAGGCTGAGGACCCACCCGGCCAGGCTCCTGCAACTTTGGTGCGTGCAGTGCATGCCCCTTCCTCCCCGGAACTCCACGTCCTCGGTCGCCCCCTCCCGCGGTCGCGCGCCATCGTCTCGGGGGAGATGCAGGCAGGCAGCCCAGGGCCTCCTCAGACCCCCGACGGGAAAACGCTCCCTGCCCCGGCTCAGATGTCGCCCGATGCCGACGCGGAGTCCACTCTTACCATGGCAGCGGCACAATCGGCGGCGTGTAGGCCTCCCGTGGAAGAGGGAGCGGAAGTGACGCATCGTCCTTATATACCATCCCGGAGGAAGAGGCGGGGCTATCTAGCAGGCGCGCTTCAGGAAACGACTTCTCTCCCCGCCCCTCCCTTAGCGAGGAGTCGAATTTTGAGAGTTTGGATTGGGAATCATAACTTCCGGTCCGGTCGTCTTTACCGTCGTAAGGGTCCTGTTCCGGGCGTGCGCGCAGCGGAGGTTCCGGGGCAGGATTGTGTTCGTTTGAGGCGATCGCCTTCCTTCGCTTTCGCACTTGGCCGAAGTGATCTGAGTCTCACAGGGGAGACTGGAGTTAATCACGTTAGCTCAAATATCACGGAACTTTTTTTTTTGTCGCCAGACAAGACGTTCTGGGACTTGTGGTTTTTGCTTCTGAAACGGACTCCGAGCCTGACAGCCGACGGAAGTGAGGCTGCGGGGGAATGGCCGCGGCGGCGACCATGGCGGCTGCTGCCCGCGAGCTGGTGTTGCGGGCCGGGGCCTCAGATATGGAGGAGGAGGAGGGCCCGCTGGTGAGAGTACGGGGCAGTGTGTCCTCGGGAGTGTCCTCAGGAAGGTGGAGGCTGAGCTCAGACAACGGTCTCCTCCTGCTCCCGGTGATGGTGACCGAGCCTTCGTAGGGACCAGAGTGGCAGGAACTCAAGTCCCACGGACACAGTGTCACCTTCCTATTCACGCTAGAAAAAAAAATTCTTAGTAGAAAAGAGGAAGTAGTGTAAAAGATTCAGAACGTGGGCTCTGGAGCCTGATTGCCTTGCTCCCACTTCCAGCCCCACCACTTGTAAGCTGTGTTTTCCGAGGCCTCGCTTCCCACACCTGTACAGGAGAGGCGTTATTCGGACCTACCTTATAGGTCGTCGTTAGGATTTAGCCGAAAGAGTTTGTGCGAGGGTGCACCCGACACACAGGTAAACAGCATGTAAGCTCACAATTTTAGCATCTGGAACTCTTAGGGTGCGATGGTACAACACCCGAGGTAACAGGACAGCGGTCCTAAATTCAAAGGCAAGTCCGGCTAATTAATCCTAGTTTTTCTCATTTGAACACCTCCAGCGAATTGCCTGGGTTTTTTTTTTCTGACATATTTTCTACTCGTTAGCCCTGAAAAGTAGATCTGAGTGCGTGAGAATCTTTGACCCACTAACTGTGACTCCCCTGAGAAAGCGCCCCCACCTCACTTTCAGGATTAGGAATATCCCGCTGTATTTGTTTCCCCCCTTTCTGTATCCCACATTCACTAATCTGCCCCTCTTCAGGGGGGTGCTTCTGGACTCCAAGAGCCCCTGCAGCTTGGGGAGCTGGATATCACCTCTGATGAATTCATCCTGGATGAAGTGGATGGTGAGTGGTGCCGTGGGTGGGGGCAGCGTAGCCAGCCCCCTTTATCCTTTAGGAATATGTTATGCGACAGACAGTAGATGACCCCCCCATACTAACCCCTGCATGGTTTTTTTTAAATGCAGTATAAAGTTTAATCGATGAATTGAGGTTTAACTTCCAATTTAGGTTCAGTAAGAAATGAACAGTAAGAGTAGGACACTTACAGCAATACACTATGATAAAATTTGCTGAGTCCCCTTTTTTGCTCTTCCGGACTCTTATTAGTGAAAACAAGGTTTGTTTGAGCATAGACATGTGTAGACAGCCAATCCGATCACGAAGACAGCTAGTGAGTGATTGACAGGCTGGTACCACACACACCATAGATGCATCCAGCAAAGACAATGCAAGTCCAAGGTGGGTGAGAGGGCCTTCAACTTCTCAGAATGCCGCACTTATCTTAAAAGCTTCTAAATCATGCTTTGGGATTGCCATTTAATATTTTTGGTCCGTGATTGGCTAGACTGAGGAACTGAAGCAGCAGAGCCAAAGCTGCTGTCCTTATCACTGGAGACACCGGGTCGGAAGGAAAGGGGAAGCTGGTGTGCAGGTGCCCAGGGCGGGCAGAGGGAGGCGTGGCGCTGGACCCTGATGGAAAATGTCTGTTTCCAGTTCACATCCAAGCAAATCTGGAGGATGAGTTAGTGAAGGAAGCTCTCAAGACGGTGAGGCTCTCCCCTATGCCAGTCTGCCCCACCCTCCCTCTTCAGTCCCCTCCAGCCCGGCACTGAGTCTGTTCTGGTGTCCTTTCACAGTGGCTTCTTCCTGACTTCTTGTCGTTTCCCCAGGGTGTGGATCTGCGACACTATTCGAAGCAGGTGGAGCTGGAGCTGCAGCAGATTGAGCAAAAGTCCATCCGGGACTGTATCCCCCAGCAGAGGGAAAAGATGCAGTTACCTACATGGGGTCTGGGGAGGTGTGATGCAGGTAGCCCTGACAGGGATGGCATCTCTCTCTAAGGTTTCTGTCACTTTGGGGAGACTTTCGGGGGGGAAGTACTGCTGGTCCTCAGAACTCTGTGTTCAGTGAGAAGCCCTTGACTTTTGGGGGTCAGATATCCAAGAGAGTGAAAACATTGCGTCTCTGCACAATCAGATCACAGCCTGCGATGCTGTCCTGGAGGTTGGTGGCCCTCGCCTGTGGCCCCTGACAACCTTGACCCCATCATGCCCTCTGCTCCTGGTTTTTTGTTTTGTTTTGTTAGTACTTTTTGTTCCCTGGGCAAATGAATATGTGCCGCCCTCCTGGGCTGTTGGATCCTGGGGTGTTCACTCAGACACTTGGGTGACATGCTTGTCCCTGTCAACCCTGTGACATGCCCACAGTGTTTCCTGCCCTCCCCGTAGCGCATGGAGCAGATGCTGGGAGCTTTCCAGAGCGACCTCAGCTCCATCAGCTCCGAGATCCGGACCCTGCAGGAGCAGTCAGGAGCCATGAACATCCGACTTCGTAACCGACAAGCAGTGCGGGGGAAACTTGGGGAACTTGTAGATGGGCTAGTGGTGCCCTCTGCTCTGGTCACGTGAGTTGCTGGTTTGAAGGGTCATGATGTCCAGAGCAGGTGGTCGGGCTGAGGTTGTCAGGTACCATCTAGAGACCAGGAGTGCTGGCTAATGCCCGTAATCTCACGTTTGGAGGTCCAGGCAGGAGGTTGCTGCAAGTGATCACCCTTGGCTACAGAGTGGGCCCAGGCAGTAGGATGCTACAAGTCACCAGCCTGGGCTACAGAGTGGGATCTTGTTTTTAAAAAGTTGTAGAAGGAGCTGGAGAGATGGCTCAGTGGTTAAGAGCACTGGCTACTCTTCCAGAGGTCCTGAGTTCAATTCCCAGCAACCACATGGTGGCTCACAACCATCTGTAATGAGATCTGGCACTCTCCTCTGGTGTGGGGACATACATGGAGGCAAAATGTTGTATACATAATAAATAAATAAATAAATAAATCTTTAAAAAAAAAAGTTGTAGAAATAGCCGGGCGGTGGTGGCACACGCCTTTAATTCCAGCACTTGGGAGGCAGAGGTAGGCGGATCTCTGTGAGTTCGAGGCCAGCCTGGTCTGCAAGAGCTAGTTCCAGGACAGGAACCAAAAAAAAAAAAAGCTACGGAGAAACCCTGTCTCAAACCTCCCCCCCTCCAAAAAAAAAAAAAGTTGTAGAAATTAATGGCTGGGTTAATAACTCCAAACCCTGCTTTAGCCACCATAGGATAGCACATGGGTTAGGTGTGATCCAAGATTAGGTGTGTAGGAGCCTGTGGGGAGGCGGGCTCAGGAGTTGAGACCTTTGTACGTATAACGAAGGTATGAGACGGGAGGAAGGCAGAAATGACGCAAGCTGTGAGGGTGTGGGTCGGTCTGTTTCAGCACTGTTGAGTGTCCCTTCTCTTGACCCCCGTCCTCCCTGCTCCTTAGAGCAATTCTGGAAGCTCCAGTGACAGAGCCCAGGTTCCTGGAGCAGCTGCAGGAGCTGGACGCCAAGGCAGCTGCGGTCAGAGAGCAGGAGGCGAGAGGCACAGCTGCCTGCGCAGATGTCAGGGGCGTGCTAGACCGGCTGCGGGTCAAGGTAGGGTGTGGACACTAGAGTCACCTCCCAAGAACCCACGCAGCTTCCCTCAGTGCAGTGCTCACTGGCCCTCTGGTCTCCCCGAAAATCTGGAGAAGCTGGAGATGTGGCTCAGTTGGTAGCGTGCTTGCTTAGTGTGCACGAAACCCTGGGTTCCACCCCCGCTCTGCAGACATTGACCTGCTGGCACTTGCCTGCTGTCCTTGCACTCAGGAGCTGACAGAGGAAAGATCAGAAGTTTCGGGGTCATTCGCTGCTACACAGGGAGTTTGGGGCCAGCCTGAGATACATGAGACCCTGTCTCAAAAGCTAACGATGTAGAAACTAAAATTAGAACAATACAGAGAAGATTAGCATGGCCTCCGTGTAAGAGAACACATGAAAATTTGTAAAGCATTCCATATTTTTTTTTAATATTTATTTATTTGTTATGTATACAATATTCTGTCTGTGTGTATGCCTGCAGGCCAGAAGAGGGCACCAGACCCCATTACAGATGGTTGTGAGCCACCATGTGGTTGCTGGGAATTGAACTCAGGACCTTTGAAAGAGCAGGCAATGCTCTTAACCACTGAGCCATCTCTCCAGCCCCTCCATATATATATATATATATATATATATATATATATATTTTTTTTTTTTTTTTTTTTTTAAAAAAAAACAGCCTGGGGCTCCATATATATATATATATTTTTTTTTAAAAAAAAAACAGCCTGGGGCTGGAGAAATGGCTCAGAGGTTAAGAGCATTGCCTGCTCTTTCAAAGGTCCTGAGTTCAATTCCCAGCAACCACATGGTGGCTCACAACCATCTGTAATGGGGTATGGTGCCCTCTTCTGGCCTGCAGGCATACACACAGACAGAATATTGTATACATAACAAATAAATAAATATTTAAAAAAAAAAAACAAAACAACAGCCTGAAAAATAGGGCCAGGCACAGTGGTAAGTGATTTTAGCCCTAGCAGTTGGGAGGCAGAGGCAGGTGAGTTCCAGGCCAGCCTGGTCTACATAGGGAGTTCCAGGCCAGCCTGGTCTACATAGGGAGTTCCAGGCCAGCCTGGTCTACATAGGGAGTTCCAGGCCAGCCTGGTCTACATAGACCTTGACTCAACAAACAAAACATAAAAACACAACCAGAGTATCCTCTGCCTTCCCTTTACCCTCACGTCTGTCACCTCCTTGCTTCCTTCCACACAGGAAAAGCCCACAGCTTCATGGCTTCATAGCCTCTTTGTCCCCCACATCTAGGCAGTGACAAAGATCCGCGAGTTCATCCTTCAGAAGATTTATTCCTTCCGCAAGCCGATGACCAACTATCAGATCCCCCAGACAGCCCTGCTGAAGTACAGGTCGCCACCCTGGGACAGGCACAGGGTGGACCGTGAGCTTTTCAGCAGTCCACTGTGAATGTCCAGGGTCTGACGCGCCCTGGTCCTTCCAGGTTCTTCTACCAGTTCCTGTTGGGCAACGAGCGAGCAACAGCAAAGGAGATCAGGGATGAGTACGTGGAGACGCTGAGCAAGATCTACCTGTCTTACTTCCGCTCCTACCTGGGGCGGCTCATGAAAGTGCAGGTGAGCCAGTGGGCAGAGGGCTTGGAGGAGGGGCGGAGCTCCCCACCTGCTGGTGCTGGGGCCGTGGTTGAGCTCTCTGTCATTTTCTCTAGTACGAGGAGGTTGCTGAGAAAGACGATCTAATGGGTGTGGAAGACACAGCAAAGAAAGATATCCTGGATCGAGGGCCTCCTGTCACACTCCCACCATGTCAGGCTCACTGTGGGGCTGACTGGCTCCAGCCCCCAGGGTTCTGCTTCTTACCCTCTCTGTGGGGCGGGGCCTTTGAGGATGTGAGAGCGGGAGCTTCCCCTCCCAGAGGCGCACATCATCCTGAAATTCTTCACGTTGACCCCAAGGGTCTGTAGACTCCCTGATGCCCATTAAGGTGTCAGGTGAAGTGAGGTCCTGGTTCTGGAATGGGGTGTCCAGGTCATTTTTAACTTCCCAGGAATCTCGGGTCAGTCTCAGTGATTTCCCTGACTCTGATGCTATTCACGATTCTTCTCGAAGCCATCCCTCCGAAGCAGGAACACCATCTTCACCCTGGGCACCCGGGGTTCTGTCATCTCCCCCACTGAACTTGAGGCTCCCATCCTGGTGCCCCATACTGCTCAGCGTGGAGAACAGAGGGTATGATTCCCTGACCGGGATCAATCCCCTAAGCTGTCAGAATGGACTTTGGGGCCCTGGCCTGCTGTAATTGGGGGACACAGAGACTGGCCATGGCGGTATCAGTCGTGAGGCAGCAGCTGAAGTAGATGTGGGGCAGCAGCAGCTGTGGGGAGGCTTTCCTAGTGTCCTGTGCCCTCATCAGTGCCTGTTCAGGGCTTTCCTAGTGTCCTGTGCCCTCATCAGTGCCTGTTCAGGGCTTTCCTAGTGTCCTGTGCCCTCATCAGTGCCTGTTCAGGGCTTTCCTAGTGTCCTGTGCCCTCATCAATGCCTGTTCAGGGCTTTCCTAGTGTCCTGTGCCCTCATCAGTGCCTGTTCAGGGCTTTCCTAGTGTCCTGTGCCCTCATCAGTGCCTGTTCAGGGCTTTCCTAGTGTCCTGTGCCCTCATCAGTGCCTGTTCAGGGCTTTCCTAGTGTCCTGTGCCCTCATCAGTGCCTGTTCAGGGCGTTCCTCCCTGCATGGAGGTCAGGTGTGGGAGGGTCAGGTGTGTGTGAGAATCTTTCCTGAGATATGCTGAGGCCCCATATCTGTGGGTTCAGTGTTGGATCCCACCCTTCTCTCTGTCCCTCAGTATCCGTTCGAAGCTCTCTTCCGCAGCCAGCACTACGCCCTCCTCGACAATTCTTGCCGTGAATATCTTTTCATCTGTGAATTTTTTGTTGTATCTGGCCCAGCTGCACATGACCTATTCCACGCTGTCATGGGCCGCACACTCGCCATGACCCTGGTGAGCCCCTGGATTCTGTGTTTTACCCTCCGTTCTCAAGGCTCCCCCACATCCAGTGGGGTCACAAGTGGCAGGATTGAAAGCAGGAGTGTCCCGTTCTAAAAAGTCTAAGCCTTTACCTCACAGCATGGCCCCCTAGGAGATCCTTAGAACTCGGGGACCTGCTACTTCCTCTGTTTTTCCTCAGTAGAGAGAGACTTTAAAGCCTCAGCCCTGGCTTCTGCTGTGAGGAACTTTTATAGTTGAGGCCAGTGAGCAAGTCAGGGGCCCCGGAGGTATCTGTGGACAGGAAAGGAGGTGTCTCCCTAGCCAGCGCCTTGTCCCCTAGAAATGTACCATAGGTGGCTCATAGCCACCTGAACAACAAACTGACATCTGATTGTCTGCCTGTTGCTGTACCACAGAAACACCTGGAGTCCTACCTGGCCGACTGCTACGACGCCATTGCTGTTTTTCTCTGCATCCACATTGTTCTCCGATTCCGCAACATTGCAGCCAAGAGGGACGTGCCTGCTCTGGACAGGTCACTGCGCTTGGGTCCTGGTTCCTAAGACGTCAGGGCTTTATCTTACACAGACAGCTCCATCCTGACCCTGGCTGTCCCTCACCTGATGCCCTTCACCCTTATTCCCATGTGTGTTTAGAGGAAGCATTGGTGTCACACACACACGCACCCCTGCACCCTCAGTCACCATGCCCCTGAAGGGTGCTGTGCACCCACAGCCTGCCAGCCCCCTAGCCAGCTGACCTTTGGTTCTGATTAAGCCTGCAGGTACTGGGAGCAGGTGCTTGCCTTGCTGTGGCCTCGGTTTGAGCTGATCCTGGAGATGAATGTCCAGAGCGTCCGCAGCACTGACCCCCAGCGCCTCGGGGGGCTGGACACTCGGCCCCACTATGTGAGGGAGGGTGAGGGTAACAAGGGAGCCTTGTGGTCACACTTAGTGGTTTTTGACACTGGAGAAGGAAGGACTGGGAGCAGGAGCTGCAGAGGCAGCTGGGAGGTTGTGTCTGCCAGGCAGGCTGATGGGAGTCTTCCCTCCTTGGTCCTAGATCACACGCCGCTATGCTGAGTTCTCCTCTGCACTGGTCAGCATCAACCAGACCATCCCCAATGAACGCACCCTGCAGCTGCTGGGACAGCTACAGGTGGGGCTGGCACACAGACTTCCCAGCACGGGGAGGGCCCTGAGGTCTGGCTTTCTCACTTGCTGCTTCTGTTGGGCTGTTGCAGGTGGAGGTGGAGAATTTTGTCCTCCGAGTGGCTGCAGAGTTCTCCTCCAGGAAGGAGCAGCTTGTGTTTCTGATCAACAACTACGACATGATGCTGGGTGTGCTGATGGTAAGGCCACTCCTCCCCGGGGTCCCCACGGCTTGTCAGCTCCACAAGCTCAGCGCTGTGCAGCTCAGCGCTGTGCCCTGGATCCTAGCTCTGTCTGCAGTGTGGGGTGGCAGAAGGTGCTGGCGTGAAGGGTGTCCCTAAGTTCCTCACTCCATGTGTCTCCTTAGGAGCGGGCTGCTGACGACAGCAAAGAGGTGGAAAGTTTCCAGCAGCTGCTCAATGCTCGGACACAGGTGGGGCCTGGGTGTGGCAGGGAAACCTGGGTGCTACTGGGCTGACCTCAGTGTGCAATCATTATTGCAGCTCACTGCCTTGTTGCTAGTCTGTTTCATTTCATTTTAGTGATATTAATAGCTTAAAAGCAAAATAAAACTATCTGTGCGTGTGTGTGTGTATATGTGTGTGTGTGTGCACATGCCAAAACAAACAGTTCTGCTTTATAGGGGATTATTAGTGTGTGTGTGTGTGAGAGAGACAGAGACAGAGACATAGTCACATGTCATGAAACACACGTATGTCAGAAGACAACTCTAGGACCGGGCTCCTTTCTTGCCTCTTCCACTTTGTGTTCTGGGGTCCAGTGGCAGCACTGCTCCCCCTGAGCCAGCTCATTGGCTCTTGGTTTTCCTTGGGGACTTCCTCTCCCCCTTGTGAGATCACCACCTGGAAGGTTCACAGAGGCTGGCTGTTCTGTAGAGTGTCACTTCCTCATCGTCCCAATCCAACATGGAGTCCTTTGTTCCCGGACTCCTGACTCTGGTTCTGGCTTGCACATCTCTCTAGGAATTCATTGAGGAGTTGCTATCTCCTCCCTTCGGGGGTCTGGTGGCGTTTGTGAAGGAGGCTGAGGCTTTGATTGAGCGTGGACAGGCTGAGCGCCTTCGAGGGGAAGAAGGTATGAGGCTGTTGTCATGGGACCAGGGAGGGGAGTTAAACAGGACAGTGAGAAGGGGCAGGGCACAGGGGATGGCACAGCGGGGAAGACTTGAATGCAGGAGGACCAGGAAAGCTGGGCTTGTGGGTGAGCACGGCTGTGCCCTGGGCAGGCCTTGCCGGGGTAGACGGTCCCCGGGCCTGGCTGCTCTGACACTCCCTTTTCCTGTGTCAGCCCGAG